GCGTGGAAACAATGGGGTGACGGGCCTTTGCTCAGTGCTGTTGACCTCTATGACTAAATTGCTAATCCCTAGGTCTCAGTTCCCTGATAGAGATAACGTTGGTGTAGAAATCCATATCAGTGGTATAAATAACATTAATGTATGAATTCTCCGATCTGATGGGTTCCAAACTAACTTGATAATTATGCATGAGAATGAAGAGAGTTTCAAGATAATTTAGAAATACTCATGATAAAGCCAATCAAAATTTAAATATCCAACTACTAATGCTATTATTTATTGTGTTGAAATGGAGTAAACAGACCTTTAACCTTAAGGTAGTATTACTGTTCACAGTGACATTGACGCCAATGACAATAATTAAACAAAATCTTGTCCCATATATATCCTACCAGGTTATCTTTCAGTCTATTTTACATTGTTTTAAATAAAGGTCTAGATTACTTATGGATACGTTTTGACAAGTATTTCTTCCTGCTCTGGTACAAAACATTAAGTCCCATTATGTAGCAAATAATTTCACTGAGCTACCTCACTCAGAACTGGTGAGATATGCTTACAATCAGATGCAGGCCAATTTGTATGACTGCCCAAGATTCTAACATGTAATCGTCTAGTGGAGCTATTCCTGCGACATTACTTCAGTACCTATGATAATTAGGCAGGTATAGCCATTTTTGACTTTAATTTGGTAGATTCTGGTTGAGGTAAGTTCTCCAATACCTGTGCTATGAGATTGCCCAGATGCTTTGTTTCTTGTTTTTATTTAATTAACTAAAATATGATCCAGCGAGTGTCTACAATTTTTCCACATTTAATCAAGTTAAGGTGATTGCTTTTAAGTGCCCCACTCTATGATTCTCCAATGAAAATTGCAATATGTTAGATTTGCAGTTTTTAACAAGCTCATTCTGCCTTACAACTGTGATAGTAATTATTTTTTTGAGATACTATGTTTAGTCATAAATGGACTACTTGCCCCATTTGCACCCTCTTAAAAACTGTTCCAAACTGTTATGAATTTTAACACTCTTCTATTTGATTATTTTGTCTTGAATTTAAAATGTTACTCTTTAAGCAGGGAGTATTGTTGAGGTACTAGCAGGAACTGAATAGCAGAAGGTTTCTAATCCTGACAATGCAAGACAGCCATATTAACATTGGTAGACACACCCATTAACCAGCTGTGCTTCATTATTTTTTGTAATTTAGCTGTGCATATGTTAGCTCAAACGCTCTTCACAATTAGGCCACAGCTAATTCCCTGAATATATAGGTACTTACCGAGAAAGCACAGAATTACAAAAAAAGTCTCACTTCATAAAAAGAAATTGAAAGCTATTAAACATCACTGCATTTTTAGAAAAGAATTGATGGCAAAACCTCCAAGGAGTTCAAAGAAAAAAGCAGAACAATTTCAAGAATATTTGCATTGCCATGTGATTTTATTGTAGGTAAACTTGGCATCTGTTTGTACACAGCCGAATAACAAGAATAATCAGTGCAACTACTTTTAATAATTAAGATTTTACATTACGATTCTGAGAAGGAAACTCACAACTTTCTGCTTTCTTCATCTTGCCATCAAAAAAAGTAAATGGAGCCTCAGCTCAATACTTAACTAAGAAGGGCATCAGTGACAATGCAGCAGTCTCCAAGTTAGTCAGTGATCAGAGTAAGAACTCCCACTGGCATCAAAAAAAGGTACTTCAATAGAAAGCAAAAACATAGGCTTTATTAAATGGCAGTGGTCACAATCCTAATGGTTGGCCAGAAAGCTAGTAGTAAATCCATTAATGGCTATCTTCAGAAGATACAAGTCATATGATACAAGTCATAGGTCATACAGGTCATCAGACAACTGACAGTCTGGTAGAAGGGTTTCAGCCCCTTTAATGATGCGGATGCTGCCTCCAAGAGTCTCTGCAATCGGAGGGCTGCGAACTCTTCAGTCACAACAGCACCACTGGGAATGGTGGTTGCTCTTGGGACTGCAGTTGGCCAGCAGCAGTCACCGTGAAGGAGGTTCCACAACCTAGGTAAGTGATTGGGTTTGCATGGTCAGTCAGTCAGGTCCCAACAAGGGGTTGTGGGCGCCATCATTTCCACTGGTAATGTCTGCAATTGATACTGCCAGTGTCTGACTGGCCAGCAGCTTTCAGAAGCTGGGACTTCTGCCTGCTGTGTCCTTGATTCTGGGAAAGGACCGCTGCTGATGACTTAAATATTACTTTGATATTTAATAGATAGGGTTTTCAACATAGGAAGGAGAGCATGTTGCCTGAATTAAAAATAAACTTAAGTGTATAAAAATGATAGTGGAATAAATATCTGGGGATACAGCATCATTGAAGTTAGCTATAAATGCTACCAAACGGTAAACAAAGAATTGCATTTTACTCCTAGAGGGGCAGAAATAAGAAGCAAAGAAGTGAAGTTAAACTTGTGTGGACTTTAGTTGGATAATACTTGGAGCATTGGTAAGTATTGTCTGAGAAATGTGATCAGATGTAGGCAATGATTGCCTTATTTCCATTTACACATTCGCTAGACACGTCTTTTGTTTCCATACTTATTCCACGATCGTTTCACTTCTCCTTGCACCATATCAATTCTGTTTTCTAATAACTCACCACTCCATGCTGTCGGAGACTTCTACTTAAAGCAAAATGATGTGGATGCTGAAATCTGAAATTAAACAGAAAATGCTGGAGAAACTCAGCAAGTCCAGCTGACAGGTCTTTGTTTTCCTGTCTTATTCCTTTCTCTGTCTTTATACTTTCTTAAACATTTGCCATATGTTTCTAACATTTTCTACTTTGGATGAAAGACCATTGATCTTGTATGTTAACTGTGTTTCTTCCTCCACTCTAGCAGTTGGTAAATAGAGGGAAGTTGGACCAGATTATTTCTAGACAAATTTACTTGCAACAAATTCCATCATCTTTCTTTCTCTCTCTCTCTCTCTCGGATGATTTAACTATTAGCTGAATGTAGGACTTCACTTCTGCTAGTCTGGTAATACAGCAACAGCTCATGGCTCTTCTGGGAAAACAATCTGAATAATTCAAGATACGAATTTTCTTTTGTGGAAAAGCAGATAATTGTGAAACTAACTCTTTGTCCTTTGTCCAAATACCCTATTCTCCTCCTTTTAATGGCTCTTATCAGTAATTATATGGCAGCAAAATAATTCCATTACAGTCTCTGTCACAATCTAATAATAATCAATAGTTTTGCAAGAAAATTGAACAGGACAGTGACATCTGGACAACAATTTATCTATGCTCTGTGAATCTGAAGAATACAAGAAATCATGCTAGTTGGTCCCATTCTCGTATGTTAGCTGTGGTCCAGCTGAGGCCTGGTGCAGTTTTAACAATCTTACTGTTTTTGATAAAACAATATTATGAGATCTAGAGTTGTAAGTCTACTGTTGTGCTAAAAATGATCCTTGCTTTTCTGGATGAAATGTAGCTAATGAGTTTTTTAAAAAAAATGTATCTGAACGTCAAACATACTGTAACTTTACTTGGTGTCTCATCCATTTGTACATCTAATAATTGGGAAAGGGGGCTATTGTCCGAAATCCCGTGAGGTGACGCATAAACTTAAACTAGTAAATATTGACTTAGCATATGAGGACAACTACTGTATTTTTGCTAGTTTAACAAGGTTGCATAATTAACATCATTCACATCAAATTTTAACTGGCACTTGCCACATGCTATCAATTAACTGGTAAAATTAAATGCTATCTGCGTAGTTTTTGCCTTTTGATAGAAAGTTGTATTTTAAACCTGGTCACTTGTCTGTCCTCTGAAATTTCAGATACAAGTATCCCAGAGTTGAACTGGATAATATTGTTGAGTTCAGTGGGAAAAAGAAAATGTAATTGGTTAAAAATGTTTTGTTTCCATTTTCAGTTGCTAACAATAATTAGTAGTCCTACTTTTGACTTACGTTGGACTAGAGTGTTGCCCTAAGCTATAATTAATTAAGACAACATTTAAATATTTATTAAATAGCAGGAAGGAACAAGATCTTCACATGTATCAATCTAATTATACATGTGCAATATAATTTTTGTTACTTCAACTGATATAATATAAAAGTAAAATCAATGTTTTCTATTTCACTGTGGGTGTTATTTACTTAGAGCTAGACTGAAAGTTGTGTTCTTTTTTCACTGGTACTACTACACAGTTTGCACCATAAGCATGAGACATGCCAGACAGTTCACTGATAGGTGAATACAGGGTCCTTAAGGAAGATTTTGTTATGAAGTATAAACAAAAAGCCAGCTAAAGACAGGATCGAGGTTTTTGCTAAAGGAGCAGAGTGAAGTAAACAGGCAGTGGAATTTAGGGAGGGAAATGCAATGAGGTGTGCCAAATAGCACATCTATCAAACTGTACTAGATTCAGCCTTCATTAACACACTACAAAAACAGTAAGAGCATGTAACAGCTAATATTTTAATCGTCTAAGAAATTATATTTACAATTGGTGAATTTGTACACATTAAATCATTTGTATGAAAAACATCTGCATTCACTCCTCAATCATCGTTAAATTGCAAAATTACATTAATTCCTAGATCAAGTAACCCTCCTGCATTTGCATCTTCAAAGTAAAATAAATTATAAGGTAATAAAATTCAGTCAAATAGTGTTCATTCTAATAAATATGCCTGCATTATGAAGCAAGACTTGGTTGCTTCCTAGTAAACTCATCAATATTTTTACATGACTGATCAAAGGATAGCTTGCATGTGGGCATCTGGCAAACCCATACCTGGCATGAGGTTATTACTCACATCTGCAAGTCTGAGGTTTGATAAACAGCAATACACTGAGTACCTACAACGAATGTTTTAATGCAAGATGTACTTGCGTGTAACCGGGCAAAATAAGAGAAAGTTGGTCTTACGTATATCTATTACAACTATACGTTTTGTTGATTCCTTGCAGTGGGAGATATATGTGTGTCAACCCTTACCTGTCCCTTGACCAGGCTAGCTGCAAACTGCCTCATGACTGCCTCGACAGTGTAGGCGCTGGACCAACCCCGCGGGGTTAGCAGCTCCATGCAGATGGCCCCTCCGTCCAGCACGTAGCCGTTCTCCAGCCGGGGGCTCAGCACCCTCATGAAGGGCGGGGAGAAGGGGAAGTTATCCGGAAAGTTGAGATTGAGCAGGATGCACTCGGTGCTTGTCTCCTTCATGTCCTGCCACAGCGCCGAGTCCTTATCCACCTGCAGCAGCTTGACATTCCACTCGAAGAGGTTGTCCTCCACCAGCTCCACACTGATGAAGTGATCGGTCAGTTTGCGGATGTCCTGCAGCTCCTTCATGAGCCTGCGGCTGCGGACCTGAGCGCAATGTTGCTTGTTGGGGGGTTGCCCGGGGATGGAGCTGCTGCTGGTGCTGCCGGCCGGGGGCACCTTGCTGCCGGCCTGCTGCTTGTCCTTGTTGCTGTCCTTGGTGGAGGAGGGTGGTTGCTCGGATCTCTTGTGGCTGTGTTGCTGCTGATGGTTATTGTGGTAGTGGTGGTGGTGGTCAGACTGGAGCAGGATGCTCTCGTTGCTTGAAGAGTTGCACTGCTTGTTGGCGTTTTTCTGGCTGCTGCTTTTAGGCGCCTTGCGGGAGCCTTGGTGTTTTGCACCATCCGTGTCTCGATCGTGGAGGCGAATTAGACCAATTTTTCGAAGCAGGGTAGCCATCTCTTGGAGAATCGACAAGAGTTTTCTTCAGAAGAGAAACCTTTCAAATAACCGTATTCAAAAGTAGAATGATCAACGCGAAGAACAAAAAATGCTGTTTGACGCAGCTCATATACGTTAGAATAAAATCATTTTTAAAATCCCATCCATAGAATAAGGAAACGTCTGTCAGCTTAACAAAAGTATTAATTCGCAGGTGACCGCACAATCTTCGAAGAAGCTGCTGCACGATGGCAACAGAAATTGAAAAGATGTTTCTTTTTCTGGCTCCTCCGACTTCTCTCTCCTGATCTTGCGAAAAAATAAACTCCAGTTTTCTGTGTGTGCGTGTGATTTTTTTAAAAAAAGAGATGAAGCTCCGGCCCAGCACCGTGCTGCTGGGATCCGTAGCGGGGTTGTGAGGAAATGGATGTGTCTTGCCGGCTGCAGATCAGCTCGCGGGCGGGCTCTGGATGCTTGTCATTGCGGCTGTGCGCGGCTCTCACTGCCCACGAGAAGCTGCCTGTGCACTAGCGGCTCCGGTCCTGACGTTCAATACGCAGCTTCGGTATATTAAACACCGACTGCACGTCAGCCTTCCCCCCACTGCTGCCTCCTACGTCAACATCGTGCTAAGATTTATCACCAGCACGAATCCGGAAAGAGAGAGGGAGAGAATAAAAAGGCCCTCGCTTAGATCTAAATTCAAAGAGCATCTGACACCTCAGCATTCGCTCGATTTTCTATGCACCAGTTAAAAGTGTCCAATCCGGCACCTTTGTGTGTCTGCGAGCTGTTTGCATGACATTTTTTTTGTTAAAGTCGTTGGCAGCACAAAGAAAATACGGGATTTCGGGCGGTATTGCGAGAGCTGTTGGAGGCGCGGGGGAATTAATTAGAATTTGTTCAGTAAAATCATAACGTCCTCTGAACAGAGATGCTGCATTCGGACTTTTAAAGGGGGCACGGCCTTCCATTTTAATTCTACAGAAAAGCGTTTGGCAAATCTTATCCACCTTTGTTTGCAGGTGCGCAATAGGACGCAGACACAGCCAAAAAAGACCATGGTTTCATTGTGCATTATCTCAACTGTAATGGAAAAATCATTCTGTCTTCTATTTCGGTATCACTTCACCAATTTTTAAAAAAAAAGGTTTAACGAACAACATTCTCCTTTAAAACAGTCCCCTTTAAAATGCCCACGAAACCAAAAAGGAGCGTCTAACCTATAATCATTTCATCACTACTAAGTAATCAACGATAATAAAACAACTTACATTTATATGGCAACCATGCATTGTGAAACATCACAAGGCTTCCCATAGGATCAATAACCAGACAAAATAAATGACATTGAGCTACTAAAAGGGATATCAAGACAATTGGTCAAAACCTCAGAAAAGGGATATAAATTTTCAGGAGTTTTTTTTGTTTTCATTCATAGCATTTTTTGTCCATCCTTAATTATCCTTCATATGTGGTTATTTGCCTTCTTGAACCACTGGCATCCACGTGGTGTAGGTACACCCACAGTTCTGTTTTTAAGGGGTTCCAGGTTTTTGAAGGAATGGTGATACTGTTCCAAGTTAGGATTGTATGATGGTATTCCCATACATCAGCTGTCCTTCTTGGTAGAGGTTGATGGTAGATGGTAGAGGTTGTGGGTTTGGATGGTGTTGTCTGAGGAGCCTCGGTGAATTGTTAGGATTTTTGTAGAAGAAGACACTGCTACACTGTTGTTACACCCAAACTCTGGGTTGTCTCCCCAGTTTGTTATGGTTCCACATGGGACACCCCAAATTGCTAAGCTCCAGGGTGAGGAAGGATGATTTGGACCCCCTTTATCATTCACCCATCTTCTTGGTTAATTTGTGGCAATGGGGAGGCAATGCCCTAATAGTATTATCATTGGACTGTTAATCCAGAGAACCAGGCAATGTCCTGGGGACCTGGGTTTGAATCCTACCATTGCAGCTGGTGGAATTTGAATTCAAGAAATATCTGGAATTAAGCGTCTAATGATGACCATGAATCCATTGCTGGTTGCTGGGGGAAAGCCCAATTGGTTCACTATTTTCCTTTAGGGAAGGAAACTGCCATCTTTACCTGATCTGGCCTACATGTGACTCCAGACAATGTGGACTCCACAGCAATGTGGTTGACTCATAACTGCCCTATGGGCAATTAGGGATGGGCAGTAAATGCTGGCCTAGCCAGCAATGCCTTCCTCCCATGAATGAATAAAAATAAATTAAAAAACAGACCTGTTCCCTTGTGGATATTATTCTTCTAGATTCAAATGCATTTATAGAATCATAGAATGTACAGTACAGAAAGAGAGAATCTGATATTTTCACTGTCAGTGTTCCTGAGACTAATTTATCAATCTAGATTTATTAATCAATTGAATTCAGATTGCAGAACTGCCATGGGATATTGAACCCATGTCCTCCGACCATTAGTCTGTGCCGTTGGATTACTAGTCTATAAACATGGTAGATATTGGGAAAGTGGATATGGAGGATGCATGGGATAGAGAAAAAAGTAGACATAAATTAGATATTTTCAAGTTAGCAGAAATCAGTGCTGGGATTTCAGCTATTACAAACAATAGAATAATTGAACCATATAATTTTACAGAACGGACTGAGACAATTTGGCCCATTGTGACAGTAACAGCTCCCAAAAGAGCTACCCAGTTGCCCCATTCTCCAGCCCTATCTCCATAGCTCTCTAAATTCATCACTTTCAAATATATATCCAGCTCTCTTTTGAAATCTCTTATGGAACCCACCTCCACATTCTCCCATGCAGCGCATTCAGAATCCTAATAACACTCTTGAGTAAAGAAGTTTCTCTTCAATATACTCCTTGCTCTGTTGCTGACGATCTTGAAATTGTGATCTCTAGTTATTGACATACCAACTAGTGGAAACAGAATATCTTTCTTTACGTAATTTTGAACACCTCAATAAGGTCACCGTTTAATCTTTTCTGCTCCAAGGAGAATAATTGAATTGAATTGAATTAGTTTTATTGTGACACGTACTCAAATGAGTACAGTAAAAAGTTTACAATCGCCACATTACAGCGCCATCTTAAGTATAAAGGTACAGATACTCAAGATCAAATTCTTAGGAAACAAAAAAAATTAGAAAAGTAAAGAAACAAATAGTCCAACATTATAGGTCATAGGAATAAATCCTAAAAATAAGGAAGTGAAAAGTCCAGAATATCAGTCTTTCCGATCCAGTTCATGCTGGCACCTAGGCTTCCAGGGAGACCTCCACCACCTGCACCTGAACCACCAATGTAGAAGTTGCCCCACTTTAGGTGCCACCTCTTCACTGCTGGACCACTTTGCTAATGCCACTGAACCCACACTTACCCTGGAACTAAGAGACCCTGTCTCTGCTGCCAGGCAGGGTGCCACCGTGCCACGAGTCCTGCTTTGGCTGCAGATGTTGCTTTGCCAGTGCTGCCATCTTGTAGAGTCTGCTGTCAGCGGTGCTGCCATTCACGATTGCTGTCGCTGCCGCCGGCCGTGAATGCTGGGAGAATGACCTCGCTGCTCCTGCCACCAGCCCTGAATGGCAGGATAATGTACTTGTTTGTCGCCAGCCTCCTATCGTCAGGAGCCCAATTTCTCTAATCTTTCCTTGAATCTAAAATCCCTCATTCCTGGTGTCATTCTAGTAAATCTCCTTTGCACTTTTTCCAGGTCTATAATGTCCTTCCTTAAATAAGGTGCCCAGAACTGAACACAATGCTCCAAATGTAGTCTGACCAATGATTTGTAGAGGTATAGCATCATTTCCTTGCTTCTATATTCTGTGCTTCTATTTATAAACCCAAGGATGCTATAAGTCTTCTTAACAACTGTTTCAATTTACCTGGCCACCTTCAGAGAATTATGCATGTGAACTCCTCAGTCCCTTTGCTCCTGTACTCTGTTCAAAGTTGTACCATTGAGCCTATTTTGTCTTTCCATATTTCTTCTACCAAACTGTATTACCTTGTATTTCTTGGAATTGAAATTCATTTGCCAGGTGTCTGCCCAGTTTGCAGCCAATAATTTGTCATTGCTGCCATAACTGCCACCCTCTGGCTGCATAGAAAACAGTGTGTGCGTGGTTATGAATGGGTCCAGCCATCCAGTAACAAAACTTTACCTGTGATTTCACCCTCCAGGTTGGCATAGCTTCTTTTCTATTGTCTAGCACAGTCATATGATAAGCATGCACAGATTTGGCTCATCTGGATCTACCAGGCTGGAACTTTGGCTGATCATGAGGGTCCAACTAATGGATTTTCCATTCTGCTGGCAGCATGGATGAAGACATCACCACAAGAGGAGTGTCCTTTACCTCAATTTGACTTAGTGCGATTTCATTGCACATTCATAACTTTGCAATTAAGCTGGGGTTCAGTTTTAAGATTTGATTTTTGGCAATGTGACCCCTCTCTTTCTCTGGAGAACAAAGGAATTTACTTTTTATTTAATTTGTCCCAGACAGTAGCAGTCACTATGGAGTCATCTGTCAATAAATGATTCTTTCAACCAAAATATATTGATAGGCTCTGGAACTTTCCAGATCACTAAGATTAATCAATTAGACTTTATTCCTTTTCTTCACATTTGGGGATTTGGGCATCAGTGGCTGGGCCAGCATTTATTGCCTTTTCCTGGTTGCCCTTGAGAAAGTGGTGGTGAATTGTCTTCTTGAACCACTGCAGTCCATTTGGTATAGGATAAACCCACAATGTTATTGGCGAGGGAGTTCCAGGAATTTGACCCAGTGACAGTAAAGGAGCAATGATATATTTCCAACTCAGGATGGTGATTGGCTTAGAAGAGAACTTACATGGTGGTTTTCCCTTCTATCTGCTGCCCTTGTCCTTCCAGATGGTAATGATTGTGGGTCTGAAAGGTGCTGTCAAAGGAGACTTGGTGAACTTCTGTCATGCATCTTGTAGATGATGCACACTGCTGCTACTGTGGTAGGGAGGGCAGGAGTGTAAAGTTGAGGGCCATGGCTGAGACAGCGAGCTAGTGTGGAGGGAAAGGAAAAGGTGAGGTTGTTGCTGAAGCTCTGTTATTAAATATAAACTAGTCTATTGAATTTGAAATTTGAGCAATACTGGGTGTGGATGAGTCTAATTGTAATGGCCAATGCATCGGGGTTGGCCAAGATGTTTTCTGGTGAGTGGCAGATATCTGGGTGAAACTGGGAGAGAGACTTACAAAATGCTCTTTCTTCTCCCTACGTCATAAGTGTTTTCAAACCACAGCTTTTTCCTTTAACTCAATTTCTGTTTTGAATCTTGTTGGTGCCTAGAACTTCTGACTTCTTAAAAGTTTTTAAAAATTTGTTCACTGCATGTGGCAATGAGCCACCTTCATGAAAACCCCTCTGCAACAGTGGTCTCAAACTTTTTTAAAGCAGCAGATAACTTTTTGAATTTAAGTGCAGCCCTGCATCTACCACAAAGAAAATATTAGAATAAACAGTTTATTTTTAGTGCTATATAATTCCAAAACCTGGAAGTCTGGGTCTGCATTCTCACTGGGGGATGTGGAACCAACGTTGC